GTGTTCCCTGGGAAACAGGTATAATTAAACAAATTATTTTGAACAAATATAGGTCATAATCTTTTCATCCTTTTTTGACCTCAAATTATTGGACCTTGGTGTAGCTGGAGCCTGAACAGCAGACACTAAAAAAAGTCCAGGAATGGGTGTAGATGCAGTTGCTGAGCTTATTTCTATTGCACCTTGAAACACAAGTTTTCTGGCAGCCTTAAAATTTTATTCTTTACATCTTCCATCATTGTGTAATTTGTATTTTTGTTATGAATATCTCCAGTTATAGTCCTTTTCTGCTGTTCTGTGGCTTAGAGGAGTGTATTTTCAAGATTCTCATTGAAAGTTTATCACAGATTTAGACTGTTATGAACAGGTCTGTTCCCTTTTAAGCTTTGCCAAAGCAGCAGGAAAATGCTCAAGAGCCTGAGCAGTTCACGGCTTGCGATGTGAAGCGAGATAGCGATGTCCACTGCGAGAGTAAAACCTCAAGTCTTTATTTATAGTTTTCAGGTGTACCTCGAGGGTGAACACTGGGAACGGGGTGAGGACCTTAACAGTATTTGTTCTGTATTTTCTTCAAGGCACTCCCTCTTTCCATGTGTGGTTTGTTTGTTTGGATTTTTTTCTTCCTCTTATGCACTACTTCTTTCATGGCTGAGCAAACACAGGCCTTGCTGTTCCTGAATCCTCCCACACAGTATTTGTATAGCAGGGTGGACTTCTGCATCTTCTGTTCCCTGGCCTATGTCACCACTTTGTTGTCAGCAGGCAAGTGCTACTCATCACTGACAATTTCAGTAAATGCTGTGAATGTAGCAGAAGAAATGTGGTAAGATGGGCTTAGAAGATGAAATGGAGACAAGGTTGTGGGAATAGTTTGCTAAGTTAGAGAAATGGCCAACAGAGACTCAGTGAAGTATGGAAAAGGTGGTGATCAGGGAAGTTTTTGAACATGAGAAGTCGGTGTGTTTGTGGATCTAGTTTGCCTGGAATCAAACCAGTGTGGGAAAATTTCCCCTTGGAAAAGTCCTGGATAAATGCAGTGTTTGAAAGAAGCAAGTGGAACATTTTTATATATATAGTAACATTTTTTTCAGATTGCTAATGAAGTTAGCCATTATTTTTCAACCTCAGCTTTAACTGCCAAAAGGCTCTTTTAATTTTTTTTTTTTTTTTTCAATTTGGAAGGAGCATTCTACATGGGATTAAAAGCAAGCAAACAACCCTGCTAAGAACAACAATGCCTATCCCATTGCACCCTGCCCTATACCACAAAAAAAAACCCACAAGCCTTTTTTCCTTAAATTTGTACCTAAAGCGTTATTGAAAAGGTGTCTTATCATTTCTTTTGGAGTGTCCTGTCATTATTGTATTTACATGTGAAGCTAAAAATAAATAAATTAAAAAAAAATAATTATAGTTGCACATGAAAGAAAAAAATTTATTTCAATGCTGTAATAATTTGTATATCAAAAATGTACACATTGACTAATAAGCATTATGCATACTAAGAATCTGGGTTGTGTGGTTTTTTGTTTGGTTTTTTTGAGTGACTTGAGTAATAGTTGTTCTTTTTTATTCTAGTACCATGGCTATGTTTTATTATGTAAAGCCAATTACTGATATAATGAGGCTCTGAAGTGCCAGGCTGACCTTCTTGAAATTTTTTTTTTTTTTTTTTTCCCCTGGCCTCTCTTGCCTCCCATGCACCCGTACCTGCCTGGGGGCAGCAGTGGAGCGGTGCTGGCAGCGCGGGCAGCGCAGGCAGCGGGCTGTGTGGCTCCCCTGCCGCTGCGAACACCATCCCAACGTGTGGCTGGGGCCTGGCAGCTCCCTTCAGTAATCCAGCATGCCTGTGTGCAGGCTGTTAGGAGCATGGCGAAGCGCCAGGAGGGAGGAAGCTGCCTGCTCTTTTTCCAGCAGAGGAGGAGAATATGTGTTTTGTTTTCAGCTTTAATCAAAAATATTGAATTTTTGCTTTTTGGCCTCATGATCTTGGGGTCTTCACAGTCCTTGTATGGGTAACAGCAGGCATTGCCTCCAGCAGTTGATTCCCTTGGGACAGCAATATCTTGCAAGTGCTCTTTGGATGGGTTTTATAACCCGAATTTGCATCTACTTTAATAAAGTGTTCGGCTTTATCAAGTTCTGTAAAGCTGCAGTGAAGTGCGGTGGCATTTTGAAGACGTTCAGGCTGGAACATTGTCCCTCTAGAGCATTGAAAAGACCCCACACAGCTGCTGCCATGCCTTTATGCTCTTTATTTAGCATCAGTGAATATTCAAAAGTAAAAATCCATTATTTTTCTGAACTGCAGAGATGACCGCGAGAGACCTTTTTCCAACATTTAGCTTCTAGCATTAAAAAGGGACACAGATAGGAACAAAATCTTAATGTAGGATATGCATTGGGCACGCCTGGAAAAATAAACTCGATCTCCCCGATGACTGCTGCGTGTGGAGTTTGTGCTCCCTTGTGTATATTGCACAGTAATTGTATGCCAGATTTGGTGCTGTGGGTCTTACGCGCTGTGTTTGCATATGAAATGAAAAATTGCATAAAGCTTAGTCGTGTAGAGAAGTGCTTGTATAACCAAAAGCTTGTTGTCTTTTCAGCTGTAGCAGCCGTGATAGTTAAGTTATTCCAAAACTACTAGATAGCACTGCAGTGAAAGATCTCATTGGAAACCAAGGCTGAAGGGAATGTGGGAAAAACATTTACCATGCTATGGAGAGCCTCTTGTAAGCATCTGATACAATGTAAAAATTTCTGTAAGCCTTTACCCTTCAGATGTAATCTGGTTGTGAATGGTGTCATGTTAGCTAATCTATAGTCTATTCTTACAATTGAATATGCAGAATTGGGCCATGATGGTTGTGGGTGGCTTTGACTTCCCTGGACCTTTCTTGAGGTTTAAACCTAGCCATTTGTGATTGACAGTTTACTGATTTAAAGCCTGATTCTGTAAAATGTCACCAAGTTTCCCAGCTGCGCGTCCTGCTTGGTTTCCTCGTGTGGAGCTGGGTGAATTGTTAACTCCGTTACACCCATCAGAAGAGAAAAAGGGGGATAATGGTTATACCCCTGGCTGACCCCACCTCACACTTCTGTCCGTAGAGGGGATGGAGAATGAAGAAATGGCACAAATGGAAGGCCAGTACTTAAATTTGCATGCAGAGAAATAATGTTTTTCCAGTAAAAGGCATCCATTATAGATTTACTGGTAAACAGGTTTTTTCTAATGCTGAGAAACTGCGTTTACTTATTTGTTGAGTCTGTTAGATACTTTACACACTGGAGTAGGGGTAAGGTAGGGTTATAACTTTGTCTGCTCTGTTCATTGTAATTTATGCTAGTTCATTTCTCTCTATTTAAATTTAAATGAGTACATGCAGCATGAAGTCCAAACAGTTGTTAAATAAATTTAAGATTTCCTAATTGTATTTTCCTTTAAAAAAAGAAAAATGTTTTTCCATTTCACTGTTGCTGTGCAAAAGAGCCACACAAACCAGAAAGGGGAGTTAACATGATTATGCAAAACAAAAACAATCCCAGAAAACCAGCACCCCACCCCCCCAACCCAAACCAAACCCAAAACAAAACTCCACAGCTGAAATCCAAAACAGGGCAAAGCAAGTCAGATACGTAGAATCATAGAATCGTTAAGGTTGGAAAAGACCCTTAAGATCATCGAGTCCAACCGTTAACCTATCACTGCCAAGTCCACCACTAAACCATGTCCTCGAGCACCACGTCTACCTGTCTTTTAAATACCTCCAGGGATGGAGACTCAACCACTTCCCTGGGCAGCCTGTTCCAATGCCTGACTACCCTTTCAGTGAAGAAGTTTTTCCTAATATCCAACCTAAACCTCCCCTGGTGCAGCTTGAGGCCGTTTCCTCTCGTCCTATCGCTTGTTACTTGGGAGAAGAGACTGACCCCCACCTCGCTACAACCTCCTTTCAGGTAGTTGTAGAGCGCAATAAGGTCTCCCCTCAGCCTCCTCTTCTCCAAACTAAACCACCCCAGCTCCCTCAGCCTCTCCTCATAAGACTTGTGCTGTAGACCCTTCACCAGCTTCGTTGCCCTTCTTTGGACATGCACCAGCAAACAAATGCGGTATTTTAGAGGAAAGAGGGGAAAGAAAGGAAAGGGATACTGTTTGCACAGCAGTTTAAAGATAGACTGGGAATTGTCACTAAAAATAACCTTCAAAAAGATGTTTTCTTTATCTGGAACAAGCTCCTTGGGTTACTTTTACCATTCTTCCTGATAGTTGTTCTGTTTAAAATAAGGCTTTCTGTATTCAGGAAAATCATTTTCATTTTGTCCTTCATTTAGCTGTCCTTCCTTTTTGACCTCCACTTTTGTTTTGGACAGCTAATGACTTTGTGCACTTCTGTGCTGACAGAGGCACTATCAACTTTGAGAGATCCAATTTGTTCTAGTGATCTTATCCTTTCAGTAAACCCTTCGTATCTTATGGCAATGCTGTAAACATGAAGTGTATCCCTTCCTCTTCTTACTCTGACCTTGCGCTTTTGCAGATGTTTGCATTTAAATACCTTCTAACACTTCTCATACAATCACTCACTTGAAGACATGGCTTGTTTGTCAGATGATTTTCTACTCCTGATTAGTAAGACTGTTCTGTATAGGTTGCAAACTTTTGGAGGCTTTAACAGTGCAATAAAGTAAACATTTTCAAGTAATACGTCCTTAACAACATAATAGACAAAATGAGCAGTAAGCAATAACAGAAACGTATAAGAAAAATAGTCTGAGGAGTGACTCTACAACTGCTTAGCAATCTGAACATGTTTATTGGTCCAGCAAAAGGAAATGGGAAGAGGTTTCCCAGGGAAAAGCTTCTGCGACTTGTGCAGTTTATGTCTAAATTTAGGAAATTGGCTACTGCAAACATGTTGCCTGTTAATTTTATGTGGTGTAATTAGTGAAGCATTACAGAAAATAACTGTATCACACATATTTTTCAGATCTTTGCAATGAGTTACCCTGGCTATCCCCCAGCAGGTGGATATCCACCAGCAGCCCCAGGTAAGTTGTTTACATGAAGTAAACATTAAATGGTAGTGGTGGTCCTATCTGGAGTGGGAAGGTGGCATGGATGAAGACTGCGGAGGGTTTTCTTGACTCACTGAAGCTTTTTGTGCTCTCTTATTAAGTCCTATGTTATCTTGGCTGGGGATTCTGATTTATAGAGTATGGGTGCTCTACCATGTGCTCATATAAGGTCCATTTTCATTCATCTGAAATGAAGCGCACAGCACTAGGAGATGGTCATAATTTGACCAAAATCAATAAATGTCAAGGAACAGTGTCTTGTCAGTACTGAGTCTTGAAGGCAGCTGGTGAGAAAAATGAGTACAGGGAGAAATCAGTCACACAATTTACAACCATATCCCTCAAAAAATTAGGGTTTTAATTATGACATTACCCCTAATTCTCTGTTCTTAGGAAGATGGTTATATATGGAAGGGAGAGGGCTGTTAAAAAGGGAATCAATTATGATAATATAAAGCTGATGAAATATGTAACTACTGCTTGGTATCAGAGTAAACTTTGTAGTTGTTGATAATAAACTTTAGAGTTGTTAGTACTGTTGGTAGAAAGAAAGAAGTGGAGTCATATGGGTATGGTGAAATGTGGAGTTAGGCAAGCTAACTCGGGAAGGGGAAGCAGTGTACAGTGAGAAGCCAAACTAGCCTTGGATGATAAATCCTATTTCTCAGCAGAAATATTCTGTATTAGCTAGACTGCTAGGCAGACAAGACTGCACTGCTGTGTGCAGCCAAGTTTTGTGACTTGGATAGCTGTGAATGTACTGTGTCATGTAGGTATCTCTCAAATTAGCAGGAATTAATAATATCCTCCTACTGGAATACCTGGACAACTTTGTAGTTTAAGAGAAACTACTCTCTAGTCAAAATATGGTGCTTACAGTATTAACTCTTGAGTGTTAACCTTCAAATATGTTTAGAGTTGTTTTAAATGAGCACTTAAAGATTCAACAATAACTAACATGATTAGAAATATCCAGTGAGGCTTCCCTTTATATCATAGTTGCACTGCTATGCTGCACCTCTTCAGTTGATTTTTCTTCTCCCAGACTGCTGGTGTTGAACAGACATTACATGAGAAATGTTAGAAGTAGTTTCTTGTTTCAGCACAGCTGTGTTTGATTTCAGGTAGCAGTCCTTGGGGTGGTGCTGCCTATCCACCTTCAAATCCACCTCCAATTGGTCTAGAAAATGTGGCTGGCTATGCCAGTCAGTTCAATCCCAACTACATGGCTGGAATGGTGAGTTTGCTTTCAATTAATGTGTTTTACTGTGACTTCCTTAAGTGCAAAGATGTGCCTCTGCCATTGCCACCGAGAAGTTTATCACTTGAGTTCTGTGCCTTTATGTCTAGTCTGTGTAGGTGTTGAGCATTCAATATCATCTATTGAAGAAAATGGTTACTGCAACAAATTCCTTATTTTAGGAAAGCAGAACACTAGTTAAAAGTTGATTTAAGAACCTAACTTCAAAAGTCATGGACATAAAAGTAATATAACTTGGCTTTTGCTGTGCAGTGGAATAGAGGAACAGACTATTAACACTGAGTATCCACTGTTAATATATTCATATTGGCAAACACAGTCCAGATTTTGTCTATTACCTGGATTTTGGCCAGTCTGAATATGGAACAAGACTGTGCAAGTTGAGGTATCAATGACTCATCCCTGAAAAGAATATGGGATCAGCTGTCTCTTACAAGCACTGATGTTTAACAGATGGCAGTAAAAACCTTTTACATTGATCGAAGAAAATGCAGGTGTTTCCAATGTGACTTTTGGGGGGTTTTTTGGCATAGAGTAGAAGCGACTGACACTTCTGACAACTTAGTCTTCAGAAATCTGTTATGCTGCCTAACGAAGGCACAGTTTGTAGGAAGACATTTGAATTATAGATGCCTTTCTGAGGCAACAATTAAATGAAGTGATTTGGCAGCCAGCAGTCAAAATGAGCAACAAACGATCTCGGGTGCACATAGCAATATCCACAGCAACTAGCTTCTGAGAAGACTGCTATTATCAAATGTCAGTGCCTCTGTAGAAGAGGGCCCGAGTGTGTCACATGGGAAGATGATATTGCAGGTGGAGTGGAGTATTTTTGTGGTAGTTTCTGGAGATATCTTTCCAAATGCAGCTCAGGAACTCTTGCTAGTTGTAAACTACTAATACATCTCGTGCATCACAAAACAGCCAGAGGTTGCTCATAGTAAATCCCTGCACTCAGATGATGCTGTGGTCATGTAAGACAGCCATGAACAGAGAAGGGCTAAGCATAGTTTTGTGTTGCTGGGGTTAATTGGTGTAAGTTTTTAGAATAAGAGGTGTGTGGCTATTGGCACTCTTCCGTGTGACTGGTGTAATGCTGGATGCAGCGGCAGATATGTGTCTGTTGGTGCTGCTTCTTTGTGTATGACAGCTGATGATTACAGTAAAGCAAGTGTCAACTGAATAGAGGGTTTTTTTCCATCTTGCTTCCTAGTAAGACATGATTATTGCAAAGTTCTTTTGCAGATGCAGAACTACCTGTCTGTGTTGGTGGGGAGGGAGGTTGTATTGTATTAAGCATTGTTGAAACTCAACCATTTGTACATCTTCCCGTCTCTTGCCTTATTGGCTGTCGTTGCAGGCATCCAACCTGGCAGGGACCTTTGGAGGGACAAACGTACCACAAGGCATATATCCTTCAACACCTGGGGGTTATCCCCCAGTCCCTCCAGGTGGCTTTGGGCAACCTCCATCAGGACAACAGCCCTCTTACGGAGGGTATCCTCCACCTGGAGGAA